ATCAAATCAACAAGTGAGACAAGTGTGAGTTTTCACAATTTCTTACGAAAATTAATAATTTTCCAAACCTAACTAAATAACTGGAGGCAGAGTTATTTTTAACTCCATGTAGATCACAAACCTCTGAAATCGGTTGATAAATGTAAACGTTATCGTGTTTTTATCCAGAAAAAAACGCAGCTCCTCCATTTTCCTCCATTTATTTTTAAGGCAGTCTTACCTTCACAAACATGGCGGACGCGTTGACGTATCGCAGCAACGGCTCAAAGCGGCCAATGAGGCGTCTAGGTATTTATTATGTCTATGAACGTGACAGTCACGACTCATGCAGCTGTAAGGTTTTCTTTTTCTTTTGTTTTTACTCGCAATCTTTACAACACGCATTACATTACGTATTTCATGGCACACTCGTTGAATGCGTATTTGGCGCCAGCTATTGTTGTGGGTGTATTATTAACAAGTCAAAGTATAATAAGACGACCGCGTTTTTTCAGATGTATTTCCAAGAAAAAAAACATTCTTATATTCGGGTCAATACGGTGTGATTTTTGAACCTTAAACCGTGTAAACACATTGCATTACACCAAATACACAAAATAATGTTCTTTTTAGCAACGTCATATGACCCCTTTAATATTATATATGTATAATATTAATATTATAAGTATAATTATATATGTACATTACAAAAAAAACATAAGTTTTCAACATTTCTGCATTACTTTCTGTGAAAAGGGTCTTTTATGCACCTGACCAATCAAACATCACATTATGCTTATGGGGGTTACTTTTTCATTGACTCACTGACATACTCTCTGTACTTGCAGAATTACTTGCGATACAATCAGGGCATTCTTTATGCACATAAAGAACGGAGAAACTTAGGAGAGCATTATTTTGAGCTCCGCGATAGCCCATTCACAGTAGCAGAATTCTCTGTCTTGCATTAAATTTTGAGAAAAACAGCCACGTATTTAGATATCCAGTCATTCTTGAGAAATGGGACAAAACGGTGCAAAATTGAAAAAAATAAAACCTTGTACTCAGACAAATGAAACTACATTTATGTATCTTATATGTACTAAGCTACTGAGCTATGCTTTGATACAACCTCCCAACTGTTCTCGTTTTTAACAAAATGTGCTTTTTTTTTTGCTTGGACTGTGTAATATAATTTCAGCTTTATCTTTAACAGCATTCAAGATGTTTTTAACATTTCAAAACACATTCTCGTGTTAGCAGACAGATTACACTTTCACATGTGACCGACAATTCAACAACAAATGTAAAATATCATAATGAAATATTATCAAAATATTCAACTGACGGAGGTGACGAAAACCTGAATTTGAAGTCATTTTAACTATCAAATACGTTGAATCAGTCAATTACTGTATTAAAACAAACAGTGAGTATGTTATTGTTTATAAAGCTTTTATTCAAGAGTCACATTTAAGTATTTTGATATATTATTGGAACACAAAATCCTATGGTGGTGACATCTGACGGTGTTGACAAATTTGGCATTTCTTTCACAAAACCAATGGAGTTCATGTAGAAGCCATTTTTATTTTTTTCTGTTGATGCTAGATGCTAATGGAACCTGCTTCAGGAGAATCAAATGATCTAAATATTTCAAATAATTTCCTCAAAAATTGGAAGATGGTGTTGACATATCATGGCTGTGACACAGGAAAGACTGGATCCAATGATTATGACCAAACCTTCTTTGGGCACAACTGCCTGATTCAGTCAATGAATGAGTTTGAGCGCTTGTGCAATCTCAGGAGATTCCTCAAACGCCCCATCATACTCTTCTTTAACAAAATGGACCTGCTGGCAGAAAAAAATACAGACTGCAGATATCCAGAAGCATTTTCCTGAGTTCCAAGGTGATCCTCACAGGCAGGAGGATGTGCAGGAATTCTTGGTTCAAAGCTTTCAAAAGAGGAAACGGAATAACAGCAGGCAGATTTTCTTTCACATGACCACTGCTGTGGACACAGAACATTTTCAGAAAGTTTTTGAGAGTCTTAAAGTTGATATAATGAGCTGGATCCTCAAAAACTTTCAATTGCTGTTAGGGTTTCCCGAACGGGGGTTCATGAATTGATGAAAAGCAAACAATTATCTAAATCTAATAGAAAATTAAAATAAACAACTGAGGCTGCAGAATTACTATAAATGAAACTGAAATTGCGTACACAGTCTGATGCACTGCGTGCTACAGAGTGAAGAGCAAAATAAAAGCTTGAGGGATTGTATGTATGGAAATGAAAGATTTTTCAAATTTAAGATGTATGGAAATGTATTTTACAGTAGTTGTAATTTGCAATAGTAATATATTTGTCTTCCATTTTATAATTAGTTCATACTAAATATGAATTATTATTATATTAAATTTTATTGGGTTCCTAAAACGCCAGTGTGAAGGTGAGACATTTTCATATGAGATGAAATGTCATATCAGTAATCGCAATATACATTTTCTGGCCAAGTTGTGCAGCCCTTTAAATAATATTAATTTAAAATAAAAAAACAAACCAATACTAACTAAAAAAAATAAGTATTTTTATCTATTTACTTGTCTATTTAATTTGTCATTAAATTAAAATATTACCTTATAAATATATATAACTCTTTCCCCGCCAGCCACCCCCAGCATTTTTGATCATTTTGACAAAACTTTAATGGCACCCCCGAAATATTTGGTTGTATGAATATCTAATCTGAACATGCAATATGTCAAAAGAAAGAACAGAGCCTCTGCTTTTAAACAAAAAAAAAAAAGTTTTATTCTAGCCTAGAATAAATTAATGCATTTATTCATGCATTCTTTTTTTAATCAACACTTGAATGTAGGTCAGTTTCATTAATATTTTTTAATGTTTGATGATCATGTTATTTTACATATGCATTGCTTACATATGCGACCTTTTGTTTCTGATTCTCCTTCGCCTTTGTTTTGATCCGGAGATTTAGCCATCTTGCAGAAGATGTGTAATAGCGCCCCCTATGTATAACAGTGGAAACACAAATAGCCAGAAAATTCTGTCTATGGCAGGGAAAGAGTTAAAATTTCTAAGGTGTTCGGCTGACAAAAAAGCTTGGGAAGTTTTTATAGAAACATTTCCAGCAGATGAAAAAAGGTAAAGAAAAATGAAAATACAGGTTGGATTAAATTTCCTTTATTAAATTTCCATTAAAAAAGTCAAACTGTTGCACAGTATATTCTCAATAGCAATCCACTATATTCTCCTCTCTCTGCTGGGCTGCTGAAAGAATGTCCTCCATTAGCGATTGGGGCGAATTAACAACATGATCACTACTCAACATCAACATCCTCTGCATGTCATTTAGATCTAGAATCTGCAGTATCGTGGGTAGGCTAATGTCCTTGATGCAGTGCAGCTGACTGTCCGTTCTCTCATCAGATCCTGTAGCTCCATCTGTGGCACACACAGATGCTTTGGCCTGTTGTTTGTTGAGGTATCTTCTCTGCACCTCATCCCCCCATCTGTTCCCACATACATTCAAGACAAGAGTGCTGTGATCCAAATCTGCAGTCTCAGCTGTAAGTGTTCTGAGTCTGACTAAGAGTGCACAGGCTTTCTCACACACTGGTCTGTCGCAGTCAAACAAGCTGTTAAACAGCAAGTCAAACAGCCCAAAATCTTTCAGTCTGCTCAAGGCTTGCGTCAAACGTGTCTTTTCGGCGAAATCAACATTCTGCATGTATGGACAGCAGGTCAGTGTCTTCTCCATCAACACTTCTGCTAGCTCCAGCGTGTGCATTTTCACTTCCCAGTCAAAATCGTTGCCTCCCAGTGAAAGGACAGAGCTCAGGGATGAGTCCAAGGCTGTTACGAGGTGTGATCCTTTCAGCCATGATGTGAAAGCTTTGACCACTGCTCTACGAGGGAAGCCCTCTGTGTCCTGAGAGAGAACGTTCATCATCTGTGTCAAAGCCTTCTCCTAAAGTCCAATAATACATAAAAACATGTGATTAGACTGAGAAACAAAATGTCTCATTTAAATGATCCGTGGGCTACAATTATGCCACTGGACAAGGTCTGGAAGGCTGGTAGTTCATTAGCGACTCAAATCTTTTTGTTTTTTTTGGTTCAAATAAATGCATTTCAGCTGGTGGTTAGCAACAGACAGGGTTGAGATAGTGAATAACATACTGTTTATGAATTGTTCATGTAGTTTAATTTTCCTCGGAGAAATCAACATTCTGCATGTATGGACAGCAGGTCAGTGTCTTCTCCATCAACACTTCTGCTAGCTCCAGCGTGTGCATTTTCACTTCCCAGTCAAAATCGTTGCCTCCCAGTGAAAAGACAGAGCTCAGGGACGAGTCCAAGGCTGTTACGAGGTGTTCAGCCATGATGTGAAAGCTTTGACCACTGCTCTACGAGGGAAGCCCTCTGTGTCCTGAGAGAGAACGTTCATCATCTGTGTCAAAGCCTTCTCCTAAAGTCCAATAATACATAAAAACATGTGATTAGACTGAGAAACAAAATGTCTCATTTAAATGATCCGTGGGCTACAATTATGCCACTGGACAAGGTCTGGAAGGCTGGTAGTTCATTAGCGACTCAAATCTTTTTGTTTTTTTTGGTTCAAATAAATGCATTTCAGCTGGTGGTTAGCAACAGACAGGGTTGAGATAGTGAATAACATACTGTTTATGAATTGTTCATGTAGTTTAATTTTCCAGAACCCAATAATTATTTCTGCAGTTATATATTTTTTGTCTGCTAACAAAATTCTTTTAAATTTAGTCATTATTGATGTCATTGAAATTGCATCTTATTTTAGTTAACAAAATAACATTTAACTTGACGAGTTTTTAAATGCATAAAATTAAACCAAACACTCTATGTTCACTCTATGTCTCAAATTGAGTCAATATTGATTTCATTTTAGTTATTTTTACTAAAAAGAAATTCTTAAATTGCACTCAACTTTTAATTACGCAAGTGCAAAATTAAACCCAAATATTCATACGTTTTATATATTTCATTAAATATGTATCAACATATAACAAAATGTGTACATTTTGTGCAGATGTAAGTTGTAATATGTTTATGTTGTGTACATATAAGATTAATCTAATTTGTATAGGATGTGTTTTGGTTATTTTAAACAATCATTTTCTTTCTAGATTTCACTTCTATCAAAACATTGATAGTGCACTGTTAATATACTGCAGTGTTATTTTCCATATATTTTCATCAAAAGTATTTTGTTGGTGAAATGAAAAAAAAAAGTTACAATTAAATTTTAATCAATTTTGTTGATGACATTAACACTGCACTTACTTTTGAGCAACAAATATGAATTTGTCATTTAATGTAAACAGCAGAAGATTTAATTTATGGTGCATCGTGTCAAAAATGCAGTCTACAATAAAGAGACCTATATGTCACTTGTCATTTTGTTCTCTTGTGCTCTTTTATGACATTATTGAATAGAACAAATTGCTTTAAAAATCTGGGATTGAGGTGTCTACATTGAGCAGAAATGGGCAATCACTTTAGAAAAATGCAGGACCATTCTAAAGATCATATTTGAAAAGCTGGAATTGTGTGCAATGTGTCTCACCAGAAGGTTGCTATTTCTCTCAAGTGCCGCCTGATGGAAAGAAGCAGTAACTGCCTCCCCAACCGCAGCCACAGCACTAGCTCTGACATAGCCTTCTGTGTCTGCTAATGAAGACAGGAGAACAGAGACCATACCACTGGTGTGGAGTGCTTCAGTGAAACCACTGTTACCTGGGAGAAAGAGACAAGAAGTACAATAATAAGGATGAAAATTATAACTAAAATAGTCTGCACAGCAATAAATGAAATTATAAAAGTGTAGAGATAAATATGCTTGTGGTACCATTGAGAGCAGCGGTCAGCTGGGTGATGAACTCTAATGTGGAGTCTCTCACATCCCATAGCAAATCCCACATCCGTTTCTCCAATACAGGAAAGAGGTCTGCAGAACACACATGCTAGCTTCATGACCATCTACTGCCAAAATATTCACAATAGCTCACAATGTCTGCATTTTGACATCAATCCATTTCATTTCAAAACAATAGCATCATTTTTGAACCTTTAAAGGGATTGTTCACCCAAAAATGCACATTCTGTCATCATTTATTCACACATCTTACTTAGACTTGATCTGTGCATCTCTAATTCTCAATAACTTACAATGTATGTGTGACGAGAGGGGCGGGGCCGAGAGCCGTGGGAACGGAGCGAGGCCGCTAGAGTAAATGCTAATGCGAGTCACCTGCGCCACTCACCGGTCTCGAGGATAAAAGGAGTCCCACGGAGGAGCTCCGGAAGGATAAAAACAGTGAAAGACGACAGTTTGTGCGCGACAGTCATCCGCGAGGGGCTGTTGCGCTATTTTGTGTTTACTTTATTATCAAAGTTTTGTTTAAATGTTCACCGGTTGCCACCGCCTCCTTTCCGTGACTACGAACTGTGTTACAGTATGGTTAAAAATATATAATGGAAGTCCATGGGAACCGAAACTGTTCAACATATAGCATTTAGAACACAAAAGCCGGTATTTTGAAGAATGTTGGTAACCAAACGGTTTTGGTTCCTATCGACTTCTTTTGTGTTTCGCAGAAGAAAAGTCATATAAGACATGAGTGTACATTTTTCATTTTTGGGTAGACTATCCCTTTAAATGATAAATGATAAAGGATCTTGCATAGAAATCGGTATAATTGTACTTTAATTCTTATTTTGGGTACATTTTTATCAGAATGGGGTTAAAGAGCTCCTCACCATGGCTGATAAACTGCAGCAGATCAGGGAAAGGTGAACAAACAGCAATCCACCTCACAGTGGCCTGAAATGTTTTCTTCAAGACCTTGGAAATCACAGAAAGTTTCAAGTAAATGAGCGGTTTCAACAGCTGATCCACTTTGAAGGCAAAAATCTGAAGCAACTAATATTAGTAACATATAAGGATGAATATAAACTTACTGTGGCATGGGAATCTGGACTCTGTAAATAGTCCAAGAGGACACCAAATATGTCCTTCCTTAAATCCACATTTTCTGTATATAGAAAAATTAATCGAGATTCAACACAAGAATTACTTTCAAGACCAATGATGCCAAAACCAGGTCTACCACAGCCCTCTGAACCCTTTTCATTATTTTTCAAAAAAGTATCTAAAAACATTCAGAATTTATAGTTATAATTTTAAAAAGTAATAGATTTTGAATCTATAACCCAGGCCAAAACCAAAAGGATAGTTCTGCTAGAATATAGCATCTCCCATGTAACATGTTATAAGGATATCTTTGCATTTATGATATGGCTTACTCATCACAGTTAAGTTTAAGGTTGTTACAAATAATTTGATCAAAAACTTAACTCAAACTGCAATTTATTGTTGTTTGGTGGCTAAGCTGGTGGAAAAGCTGAATTTTAAGCATTACTCCAGCCAATCCAATGTTAAAAAACGTGCCGACTGTTGAAAACAGCTGTTCTTTTGAACTTTTTATTCCTCAAAGAATAAAAATAGCAATAGTAATAGTAATACTATATAAGAGCTGTCAATCGATAAAAAGTTTTAATATAATTAATTACACAATTCATCCATTAATTAATCTAATTAAACACATATTAAATCACACATCAAATGTGGCTGAGAAATTACCCACAAAAGATCATTTAAAGCCATTGTTGTGTTACATGAGAAAAGGATGAAGTAGATATTACAAAAACTAGCTTTAGAAAAAAAATTGTCATGTTAATTTTTTTGTTTGTTTTTCCATTTTCCTTCCTTTATTTTTTTATTTTATTTTTTGGGGGGTGATCCCTATCCCTTTAATTAGTTTTTTTTATTAATATGGATTTTTTTTATTACTATGTAAATATGAAATTATTTTGTAATAAAATGATACTCTAAATTCCAAACTTAATTGCATTATTTTTTGCCCCATAACTTAATTCGACAGCCCTATTGTGTGTGTATGTATATATATAAAGTTATTGAATGTATTTATATGTATATAGGTTTTTTTTATGCATTTAGGTTATTGAAACTACAGGAATTATGTAATTTAATAATTTGAATTATTTGTAATTGTGTTTATTGAACACCTAGTTTCCAAAAAAAAAAAAAAAAAAAATTTGTTACAGTGGAAGTACCAAGAATTTCTTAAGAAGGCCCTCAAATACTTCAAAAATTGTCTTAGATTTTGGGGGGGCTTAAAGTAAAAAAAGTTGAGAACCTCTGTGCTAGACATTAGAGTGAGCAAGTAAGTATATATGCTGCCAGTAATGTAAATATGCCACTGATGTTGTGAAAACTATTGTGGAAACGGTCTCACCTCAAGCAAATGGAAGCCCTGTTTGGTGGCAGCCAGAAGTCCAGTGAGTTTGAGGGTGAAAGAAATGATAGCAGGATCTGTAGTTTTAGACGTACAAACACTAGAAATAAACTCCAAGAGACACGGCTGATGCTGCAAAAGCACCTGTCCATTACCTGAAGAAACAGAATAGTTACATAATCACTACAAGTACTACAATACATACAATATATCACTCTACCAACTCTTCTCAACTAGTCAAAAAATGTATCCATTTGATTGCAGGTCTCTCACTTTGGATATGCAGCTCTTTGAACCAATCAAGCAGCTTCTCTAAAGAGGTGTCATCGGGTGGAGACTGCTGGGGGTCGGCCAGGACCAGGCAGACCTCTGGTAGCAAAGATAAGCAGTCACTGTCCATGATATCAAAGTCCCTGGATCACCAGCCCATAGTTTCTCCAAACAGGACAAGTCTGTTTAATGTAGTACTCGGTCAAATCACACTGGAAGTAGCAACAATAAAATATGTTACCTATATAAGTTACCTTGACACAACAGGGTACGTAAGTATAGAGAAATGATTCAAACGTTTGCAACTGTCTTGCATAACAAGACTTTAAAAAGCAAGTGGAAAAGCATCTTCACTCTGAACGTAACTACAATAAGGAAACAAAACACCCATGTATCACATTTAAAACAGCTTGATATAAAAGTGAGCTGCACTTACTGTACTTTCGCTCCGTACGGCGTGCAGGAGATGACACAAAAGAAACTACATCCTGTGCGTTTACGGCGCGCAGCGTTGACGCTTCTAGCGGAGTATGCGCAAATCCGGCGCACTTTAATGTTCTTGAATAGCGTAACCGCCTCGCACTCACTCGCATGGTTACAGCACACACGTTTTGAGAGTTCCTAACTGCGCAGTCAAGAGGCAGCCAGCATCAACACTATCTGACGCATTTCTACTAGTTGTGTAGCTAAAAGCAAACACACTGCATCATACTCAACAATTCCAGCTTGTCAAATGCAGGATACGGTAAACTGCTATTAAAAAAAATCCCTGAGCAATAATATTATGACATCTTACTTTATTGTGTTTTTCTGTGCGCTAAGAATAAAAGGACAATTTCTGATAATTTGATAGCAAGCACAAAATATGTGTCATATGCATCCTGTCATATTTTGCACATCTGTCATTTATATATATATATATATATATATATATATATATATATATATATATATATATATA